TATATATATATATATATATATATATATATATATATATATATAAACTAATTTGACATGTGAAAGTTATAGTTTTGGAGGTTAATAAAGGTAATTAAAAGATAAGCTCCTCCCACCTGTACAGTGAGACCGCTGTGAGAGTTCATCGCTATGGCCTCTGCCTCAGCAAAAGCATTCTCCAGTCTCTGCTCCATCATCTGAGTAAATCTGCAGGACCTGAGGTCATCTCCTGGTCCTACAAACCTCAGAACTACACACACAAACATATAGATATACACATAAAAGAAACCATATAAAAATATTTGCTGAAACATGCAGAGTATATTCTATTAAGTGCACTGCACAAACATTCTCTGAACAGTACGATTCTCAGAAGTACTATGTTTTATTATGCTATGGCATTGCTGAATGTTTGATTCTGATTCAAGATGTAATTAAACAACATCACATGACCAAAACTGCTGTTGTACTAATATCAGCACAGCTGTGAATCGGCTGTAGGGGCAAGACTATCTATCTACTAATTGTATATTATATTAGTAACATTTCAGAATAAGGTACCCGTTGTTAACATTAGTTACCCATATTAGTTAGCATGAACTACCAGTGAGAATACTTCTAAAGCATTCGTTAATCTTAGTTAATATTAATTTTAACATTAACACACACCGATTTAAATGTTTCATAATTTTTCCGATTGCCAATTATTATTATTAGTAGTAGTAGTAGTAGTAGTAGTAGTATTTATTTTAAGCAAGATATAAGAAAGATTAAAAGAGTACATGAACAAGATCAAGATGTATATTTGCTCTATTACATGCCATACTAGCCTTAAAATAAAAGTTGTATTTATTTGAAATTAGATGTAACCACTGCATTTTAATCACAATCCAAACAAAGATGAATACATGAAAATACAATATTAAAATCAAAAGATCAATCTGTTAATATTATTTAGTGCAGGGGTCACCAAACTGTGTTCTGGAGGGCCGGTGTCCTGCAGAGTTTAGCTCCAACTTGCCCTTAAAGGTGCAATACGATTTTTTAATTAAAATATCCAAAAACCACTAGAACAGTGTTATATATTTTGCTGACTTGTGTACTTACATTATCCCAAATGTTTCGAAGAATGTTTAAATCCAGATAAATAAGCAATTTTAACTAGTGGCACGGACCGTGTCTATAGTGTCATTGTGTCGCCTGCCAATGACGTCATACACCTTCAAAGAAACACCAAAGACGCTTTAATATGTTGTGCGTTTTATTAGAAAGGTGACGGCCGCACAGAGTAGCATTATAGCAGAAGTTTTAAACATATCTAGTATGATAAATCAGCACTGCTTTACCCCACATACGCACGACCGGAAGGAGCGGAAGCGCTAAAGTGTGGCATAATAAAAGCTCAGCTGCTTTCGAGCCGTGTGTCACTCTCATCTCTCATTAGAAATTGCTTCAGCAGCCTCGTTTCGCTTCGACGGCTTTCCGCCTCACTCTGCTTCATACTACGATTGATTCCACACTCAGTCACGGCGTCATCAAACTACGCCTTTGTTTCTTTGTTTGTTTTGAATACGCGCCCTTTGGCGGTGAAAACTTACATATTGTAGCTTTAACACACCTGCCTGGAAGTTTCAAGTATACCTAATAAGACCTTGTTTAGCTGGTTCAGGTGTGTTTGATTAGGGTTGGAGCTAAACTCTGCAGGACACCGGCCCTCAAGGACCAAGTTTGATGACCCCTGATTTAGTGGAATAGAGCTAATATGAACTAACAATGAGCAGCTGCATTTTTTTTACCTAATATTAACAAAGATGAATAAATACTGTAATAAATGTATTGATCATTGTTAATTAATGCATTAACTAATGTTAACTAATGGACGTTATTGTAATGCATTTGTCACAGAGTCACCGTCAACGCCAGATCCTTCAGCTCTGCCCACTCATTCCCAATCCCCAGAGTTTTGATGCACTGCACCTGTCCTTCCTCATCACCACACAGTATTTAAGCCATCATTCTGCACCATCTCATTGTCTGGTTTTGTTGTTCACTATGTGTCAACCTACCCGGATCTTTACCTGTGATCCTTACCTGCCATCGACCATCTTTAGTCTTCCTCTGTCTGCTCACTCTGTGGAAAATCACCGCCAACCTGCAAAGAGAAACTCAGTTAATTCAGCTAAATGGCACTTCTCTCAAGATCATCTACTTACCATCAGCCATCACCTGCTCTCTTACCTCAGTTGTGTTAATAAACTTTTGTTAAGTGGAAGTTTCCTGTGTTGTCTCCTTCTGTTTTGCTAATAGAAGACCAGACCAACATGCAACACCCCACAGTAGCACGCGATGACCAAAATCTGGATCCTTTCACCGAACTTATTGAAGCACTCCGTCATTCATTACTCCCTCCGACATCCTTTTCTTCGCTATCTGCCTGCGCCAGTCCCATGCCCCGTCCAGCGACCTATTCAGGCAAGGCAGAGGAATGCATCGGGTTTCTGCTACAATGCTCTCTCTACTTTGAGATGCAGCCTCAACTTTTCCCCAGCGCCTGAGCCAAAATAGCATATAATCTTGCTATTATCTGGACGTGCTCTGCAATGGGCAAGATCCATTTGAGATGCCAAAGGCCCAGTTCTCCATTCACTCTCAGCTTTTGTAAGCCATTTGAAGGAGGTTTTCGGCCAGACCGCTACATCATTGTCTGTCCATAATCAACTCTTCCAGCTACGCCAAGGTAAATCTTCAGTGAGTGAATATGCCCGCCAGTTTCACACTCTGGTGGCCACCAGCAGCTGGAATGAGACTGCCCTCCTCACCGGTTCTCAAAAGCCTGCAAACTCATCCCTCTGAAGGGACTACCCACCGCCTTTGAGACCGCTGATCTCCTTTAGACACTTCGGGCTACCTGAAGATATTGTCTCAGATCGTGGACCAAAATTCAATTCCAGAGTGTGGCAATCATTATTCCAACTCCTGGGAATCTCTGTGAGTTTGTCATCAGGATATCATCCATAAACTAACGGCCAGACTGAGCGTACGATTCAGGAGATCGGGAGATACCTGCGGCCCTATTGCTATGACCTCCAGCACAGCTGGAGCCGCTACCTTCTATGGGCCGAATATGCACAGAACACTCTGCATCAGAACACCACAGGCCTAACACCATTCCATTTCATACTCGGTTTCCAACCAGCCCTGTTTCCCTAGTCAGGAGAGCCATCAGATGATCCAGCTGTGAACCACTGGTTCCAAGAGAGCGAGAGGGTCTGGGACTTGGCTCACGTCCATCTGCAAAGGGCAGTTCGGAGACAGAAGAGTCAAGTCTACAGCCGCCATTCCACCGCTCACCAGTACTATCTGAGACAGAAGATCTGGCTCTCGACCAGGGACATCCGTCTTCGACTGCCCTGTCCCTGCTATATAGGTCCCTTCACCATCTGAAGGCAGATCAGCGAAGTCACTTACCAACTTGACTTACCTTCACATTACCGTATTGCGACAACCTTCCATGTATCCCTTCTCAAACCCTTCACTAACCCTCTGGTCTCTCCTTCCACAAGATCTGGCATTCCTGACATGCCGCCTCCTCCTCTAGAGGTCATCGACGATCAACTCTTCTATTGAGTCAACACCATCCTGGACACCCGGCGACGAGGCAGCTGCCTTGAATACTTGGTGGATTGGGAAGGATATGGCCCGAAGAGAGATCCTGTGTAGCTCGTTATGATATACCAGACCCAGCTCTGCTGTCAGCCATCCTGCAAAGAGAAACTCAGCTAATTTGCACTTCTCTCAAGATCATCTGCTTACCATCAGCCATCATCTGCTATCTTACCTCAGATGTGTTAATAAACCTTCGTGGAAGTGGAAGTTTCCCGTGTTGTCTCCTTCTGTTTTGCTAACAGTGTTACTATTGTCTATAAACAATGAATTCATATTAAATAACTTCAAGTGACACGGCATTCAAAGTATACTGTATATATTATTTTATTTTGAAATCTGTATTGGAATGTGATCATAAGGATAATAGTGTCATTTTAATTTCTTTATATATGTATATCTGTATTTTTTGTTATTGGTTTTGTTTTACCCTTTTTTTTCAATCTGTTAAACTATAAAATGTTAAGGAAGCACTATTATGTAAGTTACGTCATGTAAGCGTGAGGGCAAAGCTGATGTAATTTCTATACGCGCGCTCTCTTTCACTGGATTTCATAGCGAGAAACTGAGAGAAACAGAATATAAATCAGCTGACAACTGCATCATCGTGTTATTATATGTGGGGTCTATTTAATTAACAAAACACAATGCAGAAGAAAACCCACTATAGATAGATACAGTAGATACTGATAGATAGATAGATAGATAGATAGATACTGTATGTGTGGCAGCAATGGCACATTAGTGACATTGGTGACAGAGATTGAGCTGTGAGCCTAACCTGTCTTCAGCATCAGTGAGATGGCAGGGCTGGGTCTCCAGGGGACTGGTGGGATGGGAATCGCCTGCACCAGTGGCACAAACTGCCGGATGTCTGCCATCAATCTCTCAATACCATAGACACTTAGAGCCTCCACAACCACCGAAGCAGTGTACACCATCTCTCCACGGGTCACATAGTAACCGACCGTCACGTTAGGTACACTGGAGATGCTCTCAATCTGAAGGTGAAAATATACAGGAAACACTAGTATTAAAGATGTATTCTGTAGTTTGGTGCTAATTTAAAAGGTTTACTCATTAAGGAATACATTTTAATTTCAGTAAGTTAAATACACAGTGGAATTAATAATTCACTGAAAAATAGACATGAGTCTGCCATGTAATCATCTGAGTTTATTCTGCATTAGTACTGTTTGGGACTGACTGTGGAATGCATTTGCTTTCTGGATCCTTGGACTGAAAATTTAGCAGATTAAAATGATCTGATTACAAACTGAAGCATTGATTCATTGAATCAAAAGGAGCTGAAGCATAACAACGTTTCTTGAGCAAAAACCTGCTTTTTCAATTTTCCATCCAGTGCATGCAAATAAATACTTCTGAATTTACTCCTGTGAACAGTTTTCCTTTTCAAAAAGCGACATTTAAATACTTAGTCCAAAAATTCAAGGGCACAGAGAAAAAACTTATTTTTTTCCCCCCAGTTTGATTGAAGAAGAAGAAGAAGAAGAAGAATTGAAAAAAAAATCATGCTGATTGACCAGCTTTATCTACCAGGGGTAAACCAGCATATATCAGCATGAACTAGCGTCATTAAGAGTGTTAGCATATTGCGAGCAAATATCAAAATGATCAAATACCAATATTTTTTAGCTTCTAAGTGAAATCATGAATCAAAAATTAATTACCCATGGTGTGAATATTACTTTAATAAAATGTTCCCAAATAAAAAATAATGGCCAAATAAAAACCCTTGTAGTTCCTTCAATCATCACTTTGATGGGCCACAAACTTTTCAGTTTTCCCTGGATTGCTTCCAGCATGACAATTGAAATGAATATTAACATGAGAAAGAGAAGATGACAAGCAATAAAGCAAGAGAACTGCTGATAACAGAATATAAAATACCCATGCTTAGCCCCTGCTTGTGGATTACACCATTATGTGTGCAAAACAAATTTTGTGTTTCAGAATGATCAGTCACATGGCTTTTACAGCATAAGGTGATTGGCTAAAACATTGATCTGTTAAAACTTCTTTTGCACGTGTTTGCTAATGTTAAGAGAGGGATGTGTGACTGAAGGGGTTGTCTAATTTAGTAGCTAGATTTGGTGGTAGCTATATCAAGATAGCAAACATTGCTTAAAGCAGAATGTCATTTGTGTTGGTGCATATTTGATGCTGAACAAACTGTAAACGATGACTGTGTTATAAATTCATGAAGTGCAAACCTTAGCCTGAACCGTGCTGTCATTCAAGGCCTTCTTCAGAGCTTGAGTAAACCCTCGAGGGAGATTCTGCTTCAAAATACTGTCTAGACGACTCCTCCGTAACTGTACGGACAACACTGTGATTGACAGAAAGAAAAAAATGCTTTGAAAGATATAAGTTATATGTTCTAATAAAACCATTTGATCAGGAAGAACTGTTAAGAAAATGTGCCATGGTAACCATAGTTTTTCACCAAAAATATGCAGCTATTGTTACTACTAAACACTCTTGATAAATTAGTATTAGATTTTTGCAAACATTGTTAGAATCTTTCTTTGTTTTTTGTTTTTTTAAATGTATTTAATAACTTTTTGCCACTTTAATTTATAAGGCCGTTGAAGAGGCGGGAAGGATTGGGACTGGCAAATTACATGGTAATTGAACTTGTTTCATAATTGATAAGCTTTGCAAAGTTATTGAACTGAACTGAATTAACATTAAACTGATTTGAGCTAAATAATTATACAAATTTATTTTTTAGAGCTGCTTTACAGCAGAATTTGAATTTGTCTCATATTTGAAGAATTTGAATTGACCCGTGTTATTTTCCTGATTTATACTGAAGCTGCTTTTGGAACAATCTTTATTGTATAAAACATTGTTAAATAAAGGTGGCTTGACTTGAGCTTGTTTTAATCTGTAATTGCACATACTGTAAGAACCAGGCCACTTCTCCAGTTCCATGTGATTATGGCTAATTTCTTTCACAGATTGGAGTAACTAGTATTTTGGCAGAACTATGGTTACCATGGTCAATTTCTGTAAGAGTAATTTTGTAAGGCACTTGGTTACACCTATTAGCAGTGCTCACTGTACACTTAAAATTTTAGTGTGAACTTATAGTATATTCCAGGTTAATATTTGCATTACTTTCACCGTAATTTCACAGTGGGACTTCTCTTGTAAACAAACAGCACCATACTGTGTCTCTACAGTGCGTATGTACTATGAAGGCAAAAAAATCATGCTGTAGAGAAAAATCTGTTTGTGGAATTTTTTTTTTTTTTTTTTTTTTTTATTCTTGTTGGTTTTATTTGTGCTATTGAACTGTTTTTTTTTTTTGTTCACTTTTAACTGTTTGTGTTTGTTTATTTTGTAATGTTGGTATGTTGTTAGTGTTGTTTTTATTTGTTGAGTGTTAACATTGTTGTGTTTTGTATGTCGAGTACTGATGTCACATCTTTCAAAGACGTATCTCAGCAATTGTTTCGCTATTGTGAAAGATGTATCCACAAACAGTTATGAATATGAAGTAAGTTATTGATTAATCTTCATGCTTAAATAATGCTAAAATAAAATATTAATGTTCATGATAAGAATAGTTCAACTTACTTAAAGTCGGGCAATTAGCTTATTTCATATTCTAGTTTTAATTTGTCACATTTCTGACATGAGTAGATTAAAAATTTGAATATGAATATAATTGGTCCAAGATCCCAAACAAATATTAATCACTAACCACCATTATGGTGACTTCCAAACAATTACAGCAGTAATTTCTCACAGTGGCACAGTTAAAGACAATGTTATAATGTGAATTCACAATAAAAGAAGAACAGTAAATTACTGTGATGCTAGCATCATTTTGCTGTTCATTCACAGTAATTTGTAAGAAAATGACCCAGCATGCATTGATTGCACAGTAAATTTCTGACTACAGTAATTTATTGTAAAATAATACTCTTTAATCCTGTAAATTCTTGGCAGTGTAATTTTTTATAGTGTAATTTACAGTAATGCTATAGTCGGGACCAGCTCATCCAAGGCACTGTTTACACCTGGTATGAAGACAAAGCCACTAGAAGGCAAGCCTGCAACCTTTAGCCAAAAAAGTGTAACGACTAATGCTACCGCTTCCACTTTGGCAGTACGTGGGAAAGGAGACCAGAGGCATTTTTTTTAATTTTTTTTTATGGATGTCAATGGAGGAGAGGCTTCACTACGCTGAATAAACAGCTTTTTAGAGGAAACAGCTCATCATTTAATGAATTGACAGCCTATCGGCTAATCTTCAACATGTTTTACACTAAACAATACTTTAGTTTTTGCGACAGGTGGGATACAGCTTACGGCACTTCTCATTCATTCCTATGGTATCCGTAAACGGCTATTGAGTGTCACACAACTGACTAAAATTCAATGACATCAAGGCTGTAATGTGATTGGTTATTAAGGCCACACAACTGACTAAAATTCAATGACATCAAGGCTGTAATGTGATTGGTTATTAAGGCACATGTGATCCAAGTTGACCGTTACACTTTCTCCAATAGTAAGTAATACAGACCCTATCATTTCCCAATAGTAAGACAATATCTGATTAAGATAAGTGTAAGAAACGAAAGCTGCTGCTCTCCGAATCAGGCGTGACTCATCTGTAAGGGCAGGTGGGGTGCAGAGCCCCACCAAAATATTCACCCAAAACATAGACCTCTAGATAAACTGAATAAATAATAAACTGTAAATGTGTTCAGCATTCTGCAACAAATATTTTTCGGATTTTCTTGACAATTTTAAGTCATAAAGTGCACAGGATATATTAAAATTCATCGCAAGCTTCAGCAGGCATGTAAGATGATACTAAGTAGGGCAGTCGTCCTCCCAAACTCAACAGCGCCCCACCAATTTTTTAATGTAAATCTGTGGTGAAAAGTGGAACTGCAACACGTTCTAATTGAGAGCCATTTGGGCAGTTTTGAGACTGCCCCGCTTATTTTCGTGTTACTTTGTCTCACTCCAGACCAAGACGATATCAGTCAGCTTCAGCTATATGTGTCTGCATCAGGTCAGTAAGTAGCTGGCATGTCTGTTTTTCCTATGTGGAGTAGTGTTTTAAATTAATAAAAGTGTTAATCCTGAAGTTTAAATGTACTCACATAAAAAGCCTTTAGCCTATATAGTTCTGTTGTGTTTGGTAATTTCTCACAGTGGCACAGTTAAAGACAATGTTATAATGTGAATTCACAATAAAAGAAGAACAGTAAATTACTGTGATGCTAGCATCATTTTGCTGTTCATTCACAGTAATTTGTAAGAAAATGACCCAGCATGCATTGATTGCACAGTAAATTTCTGACTACAGTAATTTATTGTAAAATAATACTCTTTAATCCTGTAAATTCTTGGCAGTGTAATTTTTTATAGTGTAATTTACAGTAATGCTATAGTCGGGACCAGCTCATCCAAGGCACTGTTTACACCTGGTATGAAGACAAAGCCACTAGAAGGCAAGCCTGCAACCTTTAGCCAAAAAAGTGTAACGACTAATGCTACCGCTTCCACTTTGGCAGTACGTGGGAAAGGAGACCAGAGGCATTTTTTTTAATTTTTTTTTATGGATGTCAATGGAGGAGAGGCTTCACTACGCTGAATAAACAGCTTTTTAGAGGAAACAGCTCATCATTTAATGAATTGACAGCCTATCGGCTAATCTTCAACATGTTTTACACTAAACAATACTTTAGTTTTTGCGACAGGTGGGATACAGCTTACGGCACTTCTCATTCATTCCTATGGTATCCGTAAACGGCTATTGAGTGTCACACAACTGACTAAAATTCAATGACATCAAGGCTGTAATGTGATTGGTTATTAAGGCACATGTGATCCAAGTTGACCGTTACACTTTCTCCAATAGTAAGTAATACAGACCCTATCATTTCCCAATAGTAAGACAATATCTGATTAAGATAAGTGTAAGAAACGAAAGCTGCTGCTCTCCGAATCAGGCGTGACTCATCTGTAAGGGCAGGTGGGGTGCAGAGCCCCACCAAAATATTCACCCAAAACATAGACCTCTAGATAAACTGAATAAATAATAAACTGTAAATGTGTTCAGCATTCTGCAACAAATATTTTTCGGATTTTCTTGACAATTTTAAGTCATAAAGTGCACAGGATATATTAAAATTCATCGCAAGCTTCAGCAGGCATGTAAGATGATACTAAGTAGGGCAGTCGTCCTCCCAAACTCAACAGCGCCCCACCAATTTTTTAATGTAAATCTGTGGTGAAAAGTGGAACTGCAACACGTTCTAATTGAGAGCCATTTGGGCAGTTTTGAGACTGCCCCGCTTATTTTCGTGTTACTTTGTCTCACTCCAGACCAAGACGATATCAGTCAGCTTCAGCTATATGTGTCTGCATCAGGTCAGTAAGTAGCTGGCATGTCTGTTTTTCCTATGTGGAGTAGTGTTTTAAATTAATAAAAGTGTTAATCCTGAAGTTTAAATGTACTCACATAAAAAGCCTTTAGCCTATATAGTTCTGTTGTGTTTGTTTTATGTTCGTTTTGAGATGAGACATGATATTTGTTTCCTCACTTAAATTCCTCTAAAAACTTGTAACATTTTAAATCCACATTCGGAGACAATATTAAGGCAATAATTATATAGCATTCTGTGTGTGTGTGTACTTTGAGCCTGTCAATCAACATTAGCGTGCCGCCCACTGGCTGAATAACGCAAGGACATTAGATCTCTGCCAAAAGTGTGGGGGCATGTGTTAGACTATAAAGACTATAAGCTTTCTTGAGGTTTTTTAAACTAGCAGCACCACGACCCAGAATCTGCCCCACCTAAATTTACAGTCAGGAGCCACTACTGCTCCAAATCCTTTTCCGTTGTCTCATTCATAAGTAAATTGTGTGAGCTTATTTCACAATATTAGATTGAAAGATCAGAAAAAGCCCATACATACATCCGTCCATAGACTCTCCCTTTTCCTATCAAGAAAGTGGTCGAAAGTAAACAAAAGATACAGACTAAAACAGTAGGTAAAAATGGGAATGTGTCTTCCTCATCTACTTGTGATCTGATCAACCAAAACACATCTTAATACCAGGTATAAACAGGGCCAAAGTCAAGACCAGAAGAAGGTTGAGTCCAAGTCGAGACTCGAGTCCCGAATCCATGATGTAAATATGCTCTTGGACTCTCAGTAGCACCTACACAATCTGTCATGATAACAAATAGGATTCATCCGTAATTGAACATGTACAGGTGGATTTATTCAACATGATTGATGGCAGCAGTGGCAAATGACAGTAAATGCTGTAGTACTCAAAACCAGTCTCAATCTTGAGTGCGAGCCCAAAACCATATTTTCATTGTCTTGGTCTGGTAAAAGACTTGAGAGCATGTGGACTCAGTCTTAAGTAGGAATCAACCCTCTTCTGGTCTCAGTCTTAACTCAGACTTGAACGAGCTGGTCTCGACTACAACACTGTTACACTACAATGATTTTCTGTCATTTCATAAAGATCAATATTTGATCTGAGCAATCGCACCTGTTTTTATCCACATCTTGTCAGTGATGTTACATCTCAGCATCGAGGCCTCAGTAGCAGCAGCTCTTGGGGGAGCTAAGGTGCTCCTTGAAGGGTCCAACTTAGCACTCTGTGAGGTGGAGACAGGAAGGATTCTAGGTGTTGTCTTTGGAGATTCTGTAGTTGTAGTTCTGATAGTTGTCCTAGGTGTTTTGGAGTGTCGTTTAGCAGCAGATGATTGGGTAGTGCTAATCTGATTTGTGGTTTTCTTAAAGGGGATGCTGGTTGTGGTGACAGTATTGCTGTTAAATATTGTAGGCTGAGATACAGTAGTGGTTGTAATGGCTGGTCGTTCTCGTTGTGTGTTGTTCACAGCTGTAGCCGAAGATCTATTGGATGCAGCAGTGTTTTTCTGCTCAGGTGAATATCTGTTAGAATCACTGGCTTTATGAAGAGGGTCTGCAGCTCTGGATGTGGCCGCAGGTGCCACAAGCTCAGATATCCACTCAAACTCTGAAACAACAAAACACTTGAGATGAGAGAGCTGTGAGGTGACTGTAGAACATCTAAGGAGAATGAAGATGGTGAAGTGACGATTATAATGATGGTGATGACAGTGACTGAAACGATAACGGCGATGGTGGTGAGAATCATGTTAACAATGATGTTATGAAGTGTATAAAGGTAATGTAATAAGGACAGTGATGTCAGTAAACAGAGGTATTTGTATGTAAAATGTAGTTCTAACAGAATATATTGTCATATATTTACATGACAGTATCTAAAAGAAAGGCATTTTAAGTATGAAGAAATGTTTATGAATCCTTTAAGGTACATCAAATACTGATTTAATGTGATTAATATGGCTGAAATATATATATGCAATTTATAAAATAAAGCAATAAGCCCTAAGAAGCTCTGGTTTACAGCGATTTTAGAATAGCTAAGGCTTTTCTTACATTCACTGTAAACCATGGCTTCATGGGACTTTAACTGGCAAGGTTTCATAAAATAATCACATAGCAACAGTAATACTTAATTAATAAGGTCACAGGTGTGTTTATAGAGTATTTTACAAAGGCTTTGAATCTAAATATATTTCTTAATAAACATGTATACTATATAGTAAATATAATATAAAGGATGTGTAGAGATTTTTTACGATTTTTACACTTTGCTTTTCGTGAATCGTACAAAAACATACAATTTATAGAATAATATAAAAAGTAAGCACGAAGGTCCATAAGCAGATGTGTACAATGTATTATTTATTTGTTATAATTTTCAATAATTGAAAATGTACTAATGAGATCATACAAATTCACGTGAATCAGCCACCAATCCGCCAACACATAAAACAGTTACAAACTGCCATGAGATTGTTGAAAATGTTTGTTTCATATGCTGTGAATAAGTCCATATTGCATGTTTCAGCATATATACAAACATAAAAACATTACATATGAAAAGTTGCATGTATTAATTTTGATATTTGTCAGTTTTAAGGTATATGATGTTTTATGTAGGAAAATACAAGTGGAGGCCTCAGGTTTACAAGTATAACAGAAGCATGATCACTAATGATATTTCTATGAACAACATTTGATTCGAGGTCACTTCAGAATACCTATTATATTACAGTCATCTTATAAAAGGATCAGCCATCAAAGACATGGTCATCTCAGAATACATTTTCATCAACAAACTGATCAGCTTTGCCATTAGTCTTTTCTCTAAGTGTGTTTCCAAGTAGCTTTGTTTGGGTCATTAAATACTAATTTACAGCCAATGCGTCAAGATTGTGCTTCAGGTTCAGAATGCATGCTTCAGGTCAGAATACCTGCAGAAAACATTCAACTGCTTCAGAAGTAAACTGCTAGAAGAAGCATGTATCATAAATAAATGCTGTGTTCTAGAATATATATATATATATATATATATATATATATATATAATTTCTATTTTTATGATATTGTGAAAGCCTAATTACATACCTTCTCTGATTCAACATAACTTCATTTTCAAAATTGTCAATGGTTGGTCTAGAATTGGCCAATTCTAGTGTTGTTGGATATTCGTGTATGGTTGATTTTTTTTTTGTAAGCTAAACTTTTAGCTTGGCATTGAAAATGTACTTATTGTATCTAATTCTAAGACTTCTTATAGAGTTATGAAGGGGAAACTCTATCTCAAAACCCTTGACAGCTGATGGCCCATCTTTAAATATTTAATTGCCCCAGCTATGAATGTCTCATCTGATCCCAGGGAATTAGATGAAACATTGACATTAACACAAGCTGACTTCAACAGGTTATTTTTTTTAAGAACTTGTGATTCTGAACTGCTCTAGGATTTGGATCAATTACTATGTATCTTAGTATAGCAGTTTCACTATACTGTACAGTACATATAGCATGTCAATAGGGATGTCAGCTTTACAGGCTTAACAAAGTGGAGTTATGGTTATTATATATATAAAAAGTATACTTTACTTTTCTGTTCATCATATTCTCTGTTTGTTACTCTGTTACACTCTGTTTATTATATTATATTATATTATATTCTTTGTCTGTTACTGCAAAACACCAGTGCTTGCTGTTTGGATACCTGAGCTTGATTGGCCAATGGTTGTTAACTGACCTGAGGGCTTCATTACAAAGAATAAATGTACAAGGAAAAACTCAGTACCTATAGAGGTCAAAACTGGAGTTTCGAGTGTTGGAGATGTTTGGTCAGTATATATTTCATAGATGGAGGTTATGCTTCTCACTTAAGTCACCATGAAATCAAATTTGTTGTTACTGTGAATGATCAATGAATGTGCCAAAAAAAAAATTAATCATGTCTTCATAATTTGTAAAACAAAATGTTTCAAATAGAAAGTTTACTGCACATTCATTCATCTGTGCACATTATTAAAAAAAAAAGATAATCTTTTATCATAGCTTTTGAAATTACTTTCCTTTTCTGATGATTTACTTTTATTTTTTAACCCCTCCTCTCCAACCACATTATTCCCATTTGTCATGATCCAAAAAAATTTGTAAAAAATCAAGAAAATCAAGTCTTACCCTACATAGGTTTTGGTTGACTGTCATGTATCACAGGGAAATAAATGATATTAAAGAAGTTCAATGGGATTCAAATCGCATTGTATTCAATTCAATTTACATTGTATAGAGCTGATGGAAAGCAAGTGTTTTTGGCTCTACTATAAAGAATTTTACTTCAGTAAAACCTCAACAGCTCATTACGCATGTGGCAGCATTACTGATCTTCAAACTCTCAAGTAATTCCACTCCCACACTCTCTCGACTGGCTTCTTTTCCTTACATAAACCAAGTTCAAAACTCTTATCGTAGCATGAGGTAATCAACAGACCAGCACTGTCCTATATTCGATCCACTATCTATAAGTATTCTGAATAAGTCTATTAAATGCTTTAAATGTAAATATCACTGAATGTGGTTCAGCTTTGCATAAATATGCCATTATACTCACTTTCCTGTGATAAGTGGGGTCCAACAATGAGGCAATTGACATCACTATGTGTGGGCAAGTGTTGAGAGTAGCACAGTTTTAGATGCCATTTTTGGGGATTCCGTTGTTAAACACTGGGGCATGTTTAGTGCTCTGGGCCTGTTGAATGGGTTCTACGAAAACTGCTACAGCTGAGTTTGCAGAACTGTTTTGAAGTTGCTAGTGCTTCATTTTGTTCAAACAAAGGTAAAAATGATACAATTATGTGTTGAGGCAATTTAAATTCGAAATGCTTCAATCAGGGGTTTTGGACATGATTATTGGACAATACCCATGATTCATGTGATGACGGTAAAGATGGCAAACTTGATGTTGATAGCAGGGCTTGCATGACTACTCATTTTCACTGGATGTACAGAAACATAGTCTACTAATGGAGAGACTATCTGCACAGCTGAGAGATGCAGGTGAAAAGTGAAAATGTGCACCTCCATTTCCAGATTCATGTTTGCTTTGCCATAAATGGCGCAAAAACATGCAATGACCCACTTGCTTAGATTTTTTGCTCACAAGAATTATGGCTTGCATATGTTGTTGATTCGCTTTAAATCAACATTTCCATAATACACTTCCAAGTTTAAGGAATAATTGACCCATGATTGACTAGTCTGTATAAACACAATGACATCTAAATTAGCTGTAAGATATAGAAATAGCGGGTGAAAAATAACAGCCATGCTGCGAACAAACCTGAGTTGGAGGACTGGTTGCTGACAAGCACAGACGATGGAAGAGTAAATGGCTCCACTCGTCCCAAAGATACATTTGAAGGCCATTGATGTGTTTCATTGTCACGTGCAACAACTTTTAACAAGAGTTCAGGAGGCTTTTGTGCCGTGCTGGCAAGTAATGTGAGTATAGAGGGAAATTCAGGTTGTTCCCTGCTACCCTTTGATGAGCCTGTGGGATCTGACTGGACTACAGAAGCTGGATTCCTGTCTGTCATATGGAAGCTGCCAAACAAATGGGTTGAGGCGGGTGAGGTGGCCACATCCAGAAATGGTCCAGAGGCTTCATGACTCAAGTCATCTAAAAAGAGAGAAAGAGAATAATATAAATGTATCCCAGGGCAGTCCAATATTTTCTTTTCAGAATCACAGTTTGTTCATTTTGAGGAAAACTTTTCTACACTGTAATTTCAATCTACTATTCAGAAAGCGTTTCCTTGAGGAGATGGACACATTCAGAATTACAGCTCTCAACATGCTTTTGACAATACAAAATACTTTTTTCAACACATCGATAAATATGCTGATGCTGAAAGAACGCTGAAAAAACCTGAAAGACATTACAGTCTCATATAAGGATGCTGAAGGTATAATTTGGGGCTAGGATTTCCATCCTCCCAAATAAATTAATTAGTCATAATTTATAGAGAACGTTCTCAGCTATCATTAGTTTGGAACCACTGTTTCAATAATGTTATGATAGTCAGTATATTTGGGATAATATTCAGAGCAATTGTATTTTATAATGACATGTTGAATTCAATCAAAACAATAAACTGTATGCATGAAAAATGCATTAATCAAAGCAACGTCTAATTTTTGGATCACTAGTGTCACCAATCGGTGACAATAGTGATCCAAAGATTAGACTTTGCTTTGATAGCCTATATACACTTAACAAAATTATAAATGCAACACTTTTGTTTTTGCCCCCATTTTTCATGAGCTGAACTCAAAGATCTAAGACTTTTTCTATGTACACAAAAGGCCTATTTCTCTCAAATATTGTTCACAAATCTGTCTAAATCTGTGTTAGTGAGCACTTCTCCTTTGCCGAGATAATCCATCCACCTCACAGGTGTGGCATATCAAGATGCTGATTAGACAGCATGATTATTGCACAGGTGTGCCTTAGGCTGGCCACAATAAAAGGCCACTCATAGAAAAAGTCTTGATCTTTTGAGTTCAGCTCATGAAATATGGGGGCAAAAACAAAAGTGTTGCGTTTACAATTTTGTTCAGTGTATATATATATAGAGAGAGAGAGAGTAATGTTGAGGTAGCTAGGGAAAACAGGCCCAGGTAGTTTAATAAAGTTACAAAATAAACAAAGAACACAAAACAGCAAGAACAAGAAACTAAGGTGGCAGAGAAGTGCAAAAGAAATCACAATTCTGAAAACAAATTACAAATGCAAATGCAAATCTAAAAAACAAAATAACAGTTTAGAAAACACAACAACAATTCCGAAAACATTATAACAAGTCAGAAAACACAATAACAAATTTGAAAACAAAATAATAAGTCAGAAAACACATTGACAAATCCAAGTATAGGTCTCTGCGGAACTAAAAGGGGGCATCTCTCAATTATTGGGCATTTTCAAACCTTGATAGGTGTTTTTTAACTATCCAATCGTAAAAGTACGGAAAGCCGGAGACGCATTGTTATTTCCCTTTTTTCTTTCTTGTTTTTCTCATTAGTGCAACTGTCTTTTGTATCTAGATCACGATAAAACAATTAGTTATGCCAAGATCACGAGAAATCAAGAAATAAAAAGCAATACTGCATGCTTTAGGACTTAAAACTGGGGAAAAAACTGCGTTGCGAAATAGCCTACTGTTTTTCATAGTCAAATGCACGAACATAGTCCTGCATACATTTTCATTGTGAATTTGACAGATGATAATTCTCGTAGCCCAGTCCAACCTCAAACCAATTACTGACTAATGTCGGCGACTGCAATTAGAATAGGTCAAACAAATGAAAGGCTAAATAAATGCGTGTATAAAATATAGATATACAAACAGTAGCTCTCTTTAATATAGAAATCTTTAATAAATCATATTTCACCTTCTCGTGCTATAAGCTATATATGTACAGTATATACAGAACACAGCACGGGAGCAACGGTGTGAGTGAAGAGTATAAAATCTCTCACAGCTGCAATGCAATTTGCAAATGTTATTTTCTTAGTGTAAACCTTCATCATAAAGATATTGAAGTGTGGCATAACTGCAATAGTCAACAGACGAGCACGCCGTGCTGCGTTGAATCCGCAGATTAATTCAGATGACACTTTAAATTTGTTGTATTAGCCTATACTCAAGTGTTTCTATAATTAACATTATTATTGTAAGTGTATTAGTTGTTTATTGATATTTAAACAACCTTGTAACAATGTGAAAAGATGACTCAGAAAAACCTTTTAAAAAATAAGATCAATTTATTGACCACATAGACACTGTGGCCACAACCTGATGACATATGCGACTAGTGATCCACCAAATAGAATACCGAACATTAGCTAAAAATCTTCAGAAATTATTTGATACCATTTTCATTTCATCCTAAATATAATGCCTGATAAAGTAGTGTTTATGAGAGCAGTGCTGCGCCGCTATATTACTGCTGTTCCAAAAGCGCCTCCTAATGGCAGAGAATCAATTAGCATTTTCAATAAGGCCACCTGCTGTTTTTGAACTATGTATCTTAATGCTGTTGGATATAACATAATTCCAGTTTAATTTTCCTAATAAAAAGACTGTTCAACTCTTAATATTTTGTATTTATATTATCCCCTTTAAATACATATTATCTCCGCCACACATAAAAAATCTCAATTTAACACACCTCTGCCTTTTTTTGTAATTTGTTATTTTGTTTTCAGAATTGTGATTTGTTTTGCACTTCTCGGCCACTGTAAGAAACTAAACAGGGCAAAATAGCAACCATTACTATCAACAACTGACAAAGCATAAGGGAAACACAAGAGCTATTTATACAAGGGAGAACAAAAGGGACCAATGTGTTGCTATGGGAACTAACAAGGACTGGGTGTGGTCCAATGAGTGACTATGGCAACTAATGAGGGTAGCTATGGAGTTAAACAAGGCACAGCAAAACACAGCAGACAGGGGCAGAACACACACAGGGAACATATAACACACACACACACATGCACACATATATATATATATATATATATATATACTGTACATGTTTGCTTGCAGTATTTCTCTATTCTACAGTTTATATAATTCCTTTTAAAACTCTCAGTTACTGAACATGTAGCTCTTTCAAATAACTGCTAGTCTCTCTGAGGCATCTCTCTCTCAAGATTTTGTTTTGAAAATGCTTTTCAAAAGTGGTTTGATATAGTTTTCACTTGATGATAATTGGATAGAGACCGGGACATCTCAATACTTGAATGTTCTTTTGTACCCTTTCTGTAACTTATGAATTCATTGCATTGTATCTATATCTTTCAAAGTTGTCCATCACATTCAATAATGGGCGTTTTGGGGGCTACTGCTTTTTGTCGGTTCAAACTTTCTTATTCTTATCTTTTTTTTTTTTTTAAACATCACAATAATGTGTATACAGTGTATATATACAGTATATATATATATATATATATATATATATATATTCTTTTTCTTTTTTTCTTCACATATGTTTCTCAAAGAGATAGTCACACCCAAAACTCATGCTCATGTCCAGATGTATATGTCTTTATCTTAAAGACTTTAAACCACAGCCACTACCATTGCAGTGAAGACCAAAAATAAAGTATCTGTAGACTTTACATAATGTACTCTTAAAATGAACTTACAAATGGCTTACTTACTAGGTGACATAAAGCTAACATATGTAGCTGGTTAGTGCAGTTGTTATCAATATTTTGTATCAATACAAAACACCTAAACTTCAGCTGTAGATAAATGGTAATGCATCCCTATTTTGGACAGAATATGAGTCATAGGTACAGTATGTGTGTCACCATAGAATAAATGCTGAAAGATGAATGACTAATATAAAACTCACATTTATGTGGCTGAACAGAGACCCTTCAAAGAGTTTTTGCTGGCACCCATCCACAATTACTTCTTTACCAGTGCTTGCTGTTGCTCTGATATGCTCAATATCTGGAGGCTATGATTCATTCACAGGAATCTGCAAGCTCTACATATGCAGACTGTGTAAAGTAGCTCTTTATGAAATCCTGACTCTAGCAAAATGAACTGCTTCACATACTGAATGCTGAATTGACAAGTTCCTCTACAGCAGTGGTTCCCAAACTGGGGGCACGGAGCTATGACAAGTGGGGAGCGAAAAGGCTGAGGATATTTTGCAAAAGAAACCTCTGCAGGGTGATAAAGACTACACTGCGTAATTATCTCTCTTATCATGCAGCCAATTGCCTGATAAGTAAATAATTGAAAGCAAAATATTAATTTGACATTTTAATTACCTCAACATGACTCGCAGTACCCGCTTGAGCACTCCGTTATCAGTTGTAGCAGTTGTAATTGTATCCATAACAGACCACTAGATGGCGCGATTGAAGAACCAGAGTTGTATTGCAGGGAGGCATGTAGAAATATAAATGAAGGATGCATGGTTCTGCTCTAAGCATGTAAGTTACAAATTTCCCAACCTTACTTTATTTGTCCTAGCTTTACATGTAGAGAGATGTATCAAGGGTTGCTTTTGGGTACTGCAAAAATTATTTGGAAAAATTTGCAAATATTGTGAATTACGGTAATTTGGGACACTTTTTGCCATTGCGATGACAGCTCATAAAGGTACTAATGAGTAGTAAATGTTAATAAACATTTTCAGTTGACAAAAAGTTTCCACTTTAGATTGGGTACTGCAAAAAAACATGAACAAATAATTAATAAATGATTTGTTAAGATGTGTAAAAAGTAGAAGTCTACGCAACAAACAGAGACCAAATATGTGACCTTAAACTGTGATTATGAGTTAATGAATATGTTAACGAATAGTTTGTGAAGTTCTCAAAATTACAAATTAACCTATTCTTAAGCTATTTTTTATTTTTTTAAGCTAATATTTTTTAAATGTAAAAAAGAGCATTATAATATATGAACTGAAGTTTAATGACATTTGTTAGCATTCATACATTAACAAATAAGCTTTTAATCATTGTATAATTTTGGAATATAATTTTTAAAAGTGCATAATCGTATATGAATTGAAAGTATAATGACATTTGTAAACATTAACTAATGATCCATTAAGCATTATATAATGTTTGTTAAATGTTTTATTCAT